CCAAGTCAATGTGATCGATATTTTCTTAAATGGAACCCCCCATTTTTTATTGCATATTCTTGTAGCTTATCTCGAAAGCTTTTCAAAACACTATAATAAAGTATTTTTTCATTGAGTACTTTTTGAGTTATTTTATATTTTATTCTGACATATTTTGATATAAAAATTTAAATATCTCGTAAAATTTTTAGTTTTCGATAATCTTACCGTAACATTTTTATGTACAGAATAATGAGACAAATTAATTAGTGGAAAGAAAAAGACAAATAATTGTTTAAAAAAATACATTGTTAATAATTACATACTTTTTCTTAAAAATAATTAGTTTTTTTTACTAATTGATTCGTCTCATTATTCTTTACATAAAAGTATTACGGTAAGATTATCGGAAACTAAATATTTTACGAGATATTTTATTTTTTATATCAAAATATGTCTGATTAAGATATAAAATAACTCAAAAAGTACTTAATGAAAAAATACTTTATTATAGTGTTTTGAAAAGCTCTCGAGATAAGCTACAAGAATATGCAATAAAAAATGGTATGTTCCGTTTAAGAAAACATCGATCACATTGACCTCATCTTAAAAAGGTCACTCAAGGTCAAGTCCATATTGTTATCATGTGGCCCTCTCGAAACCATACAACTTTTGTCCGAAAAATTTTTTTCTACACCTCACTCCTTCCGAGATATTTCAAGGGTCCGGGACTTTTTCCTCACCCTGTATGTAACGCCCATCTTTCGGACGGGAAATTTCTCGTGGTTGTCTGCGGCGGAGTACATCAGATCAATTTATATTAAATTAGAGAGAACAATCGAGCGCGTGTATCACATTGTTATGCATGCGTTCACGGTTAATACGGCATTATGAAGTATCATGACGTATTAATGGAGGTTCACGATATATATGGAAATATGTAAAATACATATGCCGAAGGCGTTGTGCCGCGGCATATGAGCCGTATTGATCTAGTGTTACTGCAGATGGTCAAATGGCAATTTTAACACTCAAGATGGGTAATTTATGTACCGGCTTGCGAAGAGAAACGCTCTCGGGTTACGTTTAATTCACGCTTATCTTGTCAGACAACAGGACTCTTCCTGTCATGTATACGCGTTTCTTCTGATCGTGTATAATCTCCAAAGATAAACGGTTCGCAAAAATGACGTAAATACATGATACTCCGATTATTAGCATTTTGTTTTTCGCACGTAATTTGATGAGAAGATTTTCAGGATGTTTTGTACAATAGTAACAAAAAACTGTCAAAATTAAAAAAACAACATATTTCTTACATTTATATTATTTGAAAAATCAAATAAATAAATCTGGATTATAAAAAGAGTTAAAGTATCACAAAATAATACGGTTTTTAACGTCTTCGTAAAAGAAAATAGTTGTAGATAATATTTTTCCTAATTTATGACAAAAACTTTTGATCGTGAATACCTTCTAAAATCAACTGCAAGAAACAAAGAAAATCGAGTAATTTGCAGAAAGAGAGAGAGAGAGAAAGATAATATTTTTCTACAATTTTTAGTAAATAACTTTTAAATGAGTAAGTGGAACTAAATCAAGTTTTTCAAGCACAAATATTTATTAGAGTTTTCTTAATATATGTGAACATTTTTATTTTGTTGGCAATGTTTTTTCCTTGTCAAATTTGTTAATTAGTGCTACAATACGTGATTTTCCATAAGAATCAATACTAACTTTAAATTTAAATAATTTCTAAACCGTTAAAAGAATTGTGCTCAGATTTTGCACAGATACTCAGAAGAAATAGTAGAACAGTTTACGAAATTTTTATGCTTTTATCAATATTTTGACAAATGATACATATCATCCTTAATTATACATGAGACGAAAATGCGCGTGAGATTTAAACGTTTAAGGATTCTTCCACGCGATTCAGATCTCATTGTGAATTCTTGGATCCTTTGATTTATACGGAGTCGTAACTAGAGCGTATCGTGAAACGGCGTTCTCACTTTGACTTTTACATATATGCGTATATAAGTTGGTAAACCGAGGACGGAAATTGAAATTCCAGCCACTGGGTGCAAATAACGCCTAGCTACGGCTCTGCGAAGACTTTTTCGGATAAAACACGGAAGGTTTACCGTTGTGAGACTAATGCGACTTGGAATTTCACGTGATTTCAGTCGAGGTGATGTTCCTCGTGTGGGGCATCCGCCTGTGCATCGTAGTAAGAAAAACTCCCTCGGAGTTTAACGAGAGTCGATTCATTTCAATGGCCATTTACAACGAATTTCTACTATCAGTCTTCCTCAACGTTTCAATGTAAGTTATAAGATCGCCTTTTTATACCACCGATTATTTAAAATGATCACCGATCACTCTCTTTCGATAAACGTTTATAAGACGAAATTATTCCCGAGCCCGTTTTTCTGAATATTAAAAGATAATAATATTATATATTTTAATTATTTTTTTAATTATTTGAGTTTGCAAGCGCGCTTGAAAGCACAACATGCAAAATAAAGTTGATTTAAAAATAGAATTAAATAGAATTCTTTAAAATATATACATTTCAAGAGAGTTTAACTCTGGAATGCATAATATAAATTTATTTAAATTGATTCTTATTTTAAATGTAAATTGTTAATTATTAATATTAAAAAAGTATATTTAGCTCTATATTTAATTTTGAAAATGTCTTCTGTTTCTCACGTTTGTTTCAATTGCAGGTAGCTTGTTGAGAGCAGATTTTGCGAGGCATCTGTTGTACAAGCTTCGCGCCGTCAATGGAGAAGCGATACGAATTTGGTACAAGGGTTTATCATCGTGTTCAACGATATCGACAGAATTTTGCGGCAAAAAAATTGAAAACAAAAATAAAAATCTGCTGACACAGAATGTGTGACGGCGGCATATATAGAAACCGATGAATGGTTCTGATAGTAGATTTGTTATATTGTAACCGCTTAAATCCGCCAAGTAAAATGCTACAATAGCGTACCAATATTTTGACAGTAGATTCTAACAATATATCGCAGGGGATTGGACATTTCAACGCTGTGTCACATTAAACTCGTGTGTTCTCTGCCAATGTACGGTCTGACATAATATAACAACGGAGATATCGAACTTCTCTCCCTCGGGGACCGGAAATGTCAAAGGGCTGTCGCCATACGTATACGTGTCGATTTGCAGCGTTTTTTGTACTATAAAAAAAATCCGTGAGAGAAAGAGGAAAAAGAAATTTAAAAAAAAAATTGTATACAATTAATTTGTGATTGCAAGGATTATAGATCGAGTTTCGAATTAATTACCTTGTCAATTCTCTTTATCTCTAGTTCATCTAGAAAAATAAATTCAACGAATTACAAGAGACTAATTTTTAATTTTATAGATTGCAGGATTATAATATATATTTTTATCTTTTTTTTTACGAATATCTTCCAGAAATTGCATTCAGATAGGAATGGGAAGAGAAGGACAAGTTGCAGTTTGCCGATTTTCGCGCCAATGGAACATTCGTCGCTTCGCAAAATGCATTCACATTAATTTTCCGAAATTTCCCCTATATCTCCTCGCGCAAGATGTCAACAACTGTGCGGAGATTGCTCCGCGCTCGCGGAGTTTGCGGATCGTCGCGCACGTCTCTCCTTCCGTCGTTCTCCAACGGCCCGAGAGTTCTCTGGTTAGTTCGCGCGATTTGATTATCATTCCTCGCTTGCGGGAACGCGACGACGGCGATAAGCTCCGTCGCAAACGTACATATACGAACGGGGTGGGCGAACAGGAGAAATTCTCTGGATTTTCCTCGAAGGGAGAGGAAGGAGGGTGGTTGCGTTACCGGAGCGGATTGATGCTCGCCGATGAGTGGAAAAGGGAGAGGGAGCGGGGAGAGGGGGGAGGGGGACAAAGGTGGCTTAATATCCTGGGCTTTGGACGGAGTCTGATATTGATACGCGAGCGAGCGATCGTCGTCGACGCGTGAGCGTAGCATGGTAATTCCAGAGAGGTCGGCGGCGGAATTCGTGAAGCTGCACCGATATCACAATGCAACCCTTTGACGAGTGTTCGGAGCGCGATACCGAATAGAGGTCACACAAGCCCACGCGAGTGCGCAAACACACACGTAAATTCTGATATCTCTTTCCAGATGAAGGGAAGGATGCGACGTGCAATATCTCCAGATTCTCCTCTCCTTCGAAGAGAGTTATTACAGAGTCTATATACGGGGAACTGTAAAGAACTGCATTCGAAAGTTGGATATGTCACTTTCGGAGAACTTAAACATCATTACAAACATACTTTTAAAAGTACGAGTGCGTCCAAAGAATTTAAAAGAATTCAACCCCCTTTCCTCCCTCTTTATTAGATTTTGAAGATACAATAATAAAGTCAAATTATAAGAATTGTTGAATTGAAAATATTGAAACTCTTGTAATTCTCTTGTAAATATATAATTAATAATAATAATAAGATATAATTAATTTAACCGTGTAATGTCAATAATAGTATGCATTAAATCAAAGCTGATTTTTTTTTTTTTTTTTTTTTTAAAAGC